TAAGGCATATAATCAACTGAGAACAGTCAAATATATAGATCTACAGCTCAAATCAATTAGAATTAGTGACTGAATAATACTGCCCCAGTTTATTAACTAACTCTACTACTCCTTTATCAACTGGCAGCTGCAGTTGACTGGATAATCCTTCAGCTAACCATCTCTTTAGATCAGACTCCATGATTAACTAGCCACGCCTATAATGAATTAAATAATGTTATGCAAGCCCTGCTGTTACTCTGCACTGCACAGTACACACTATAAAATAAATTGGTTTCTTGGCTTGCTTCCATCTCTCTCACTGCATGCATACTGATAGATCTAAACCAGAATTAGTCACACTGTAAGGTATATCTAGGCCACAATTAAGGATGTAGAGTCAGAGATATGCAGCTCACTTGACTCAGTTCATTAATAATTAAACTCAAAAATTAACTATAACTGTTACACAATATTTAGTATAATGTGTCAGTGTACAACAGTCAACTAGAACAATGACTTGAACCATTTAAAAAGTTTAGTAACAGATTTCCAAGCTACTTTAGCAACTAGTGCTTCAGCCGCAAAGGTTTCTCCAAATGCCCTTTTAAGAGACTCAAGGATTATTTTTTCTATATCACTATTGGTGAGAATAACTTTTTTGTTAGCAAGTTGCCTCTCAACTTCTTCTCTTTGTTTTCTAATTTCTTCCTCTTTCTCCTTTAACTGTGCCTCTTGCCCCTTCACCCAAGCTTCTTTATCCATCTTCTTTATGTTTTCTTGAAGCTTTGCTGTATATGTCTCATCTACTGCAGGCGCATCTGTAAGTTGCAGTGTGCTGTCTTGTACATCAGGGGGTTCCTATTCAAAAACAGTCATATTAATACAAAATTGGTTATACTACTATAATTACTTGAATATTTTTATTTGCTTTCAACAATAATTGTTTCAGCTTCAAAATTAAAGAATATAATAATAAATTATATTCTATCAATAATTATAATTTACTTCTTCAGGCAACTCTGATTCTTCATCTGCAGTCACTTCAGTTCCAGTTTCGACTTCATCTTCAGCGACAATTCTGCTTTTATTGATTTGAAGGAAGAGTTTCATTCCCTTCACTCGTAAGATGGAAGCCAGCCACAATTCCTTAAACCAATCATCACGATCAGGAAGACGGTAGGGTTCCTTATTTTTTCTTGTTACCCTGTGGTCTCCAGCTGGTACTACAAGAATCCTTTCAACTATATCTTCATGTACACCAACCACATCTATGAGAAACTTGTGAAAACTTTCTTCCCATTTCTTCAGACGACCTTTAAATCTCTTCTTTCCAAGCTCTTTCCAGCTCTCCTCATCAGCATAGTCAGGCTCGGGCCCTTCATCTTCATCTCTTTCATCGCTTCTTTCCACATCTTCACGGTTGGCAAATGTAAGAACAAGAACAGTATGCTTCCAGAAATTTTGCCCAAATGCAGCTGTTAGCTTTAATATGGCATGTTTGTCTTCCTCTTTTAAACGATTGTTTGTCATTCTTGTACAATAGAGTACCAAATTGAGTGTTTTACATTTTTTCTTCATATCTTCCAGGTACTCATTTTCCATTTCTGTGCCGTCTTGCAGGCCAGGTGAATCAAATACAGTGACTGGAACACCTTCAAGCTCTGCTTTGTACTCTTGAACTTTGGCCGTGCATCTTTCACTATCAGCTCCCTCTACAGCAACCTTGGCACCCAGTAGTCCGTTGATTAGTGCGGACTTTCCTTCTCCTGTCTTTCCCGTCACTAAGAGCCTCAGCCCCTGACTACCCTCTAAATCTTTGTCCCAGGCACTCTTTATTAAAGATGCAATTTGTGCCCCATATCTCCTGATTTTCTCCGGCATAGGTGCTTTCCCACTCTCCTCATCATCATCAGGCTTGGGCCCTTCATCTTCATCTCTTTCATTGCTTTTTTTTAAATCTTCTTTGTTAGCAAACGGAAGAACAAGAAGAACATACTTCCAGAACTTATGTCCAAATGCATGTCTATCTTCATCTTTCAAATGATTGTTGGTCATTTTTGTGCAATGAACTAAACTGAGTGCTTGACATTTCTTCTTCATGTCTGCTATGTAATCATTTTCATTTCCTGTGGTGTCTTGTGAGCCTGCAGGTGAATCAAACACAGTGACAGGTACACCTTCAAGGTCTGCTCTGTAATCTTGAACTGTGGCTGTGCATCTCCCAGCACTAGCTCCCTCTTTAGCTACAGTTGCTCCCAGTAGTCCATTGACTAGTGTGGACTTTCTTTCTCCTGTCTTTCCTGTCACTAAGAGCCTCAGCCCCCGACTACCATCTGAATCTTTGTCCCAGGCTCTCTTTAATAACGACCCAATGTGTGTCCCGATTTTTCCAGCAACCTTGTAGAGGCGGCGGCCATGGCCAGTAGCCATGATAATTATATCCCGAGTCAGTTATATCCACAAGAGGTGAAGATTGAAGGAAAAGGTAATACTGAGGCCTCGTCCTTGACTGATAACAACAAAGTCAACAATAATTGGGGCGAGCCTGAGCGAGCCCCACTAAGATCAAGAGTTTGTACAGTACAGTACAGGAGCCGCCGTGTGGTGACTAGTCAGGCGTGCAAGGGTCAGGCCACGCCTGACTATGTGGTGACTGTGTCACAATGAAATAAAAATAGCGGCTATCAATTTGCAGCAAAAACGGTCAACAAGTCTGAGATAAGACTAAATTGCTGTCCAAAGACTTCTCTAGCAAGAAAAAGGTTACAAAAGCATTTATAAATTCTTTCTTTTTTATATAAAGGACTTTGATAAGTTGAATGCAAGTGAGAAAGCTGCATGTCTAGCCTAGGTGATGTTTCTTCTCTAGCAGCAGCCTATGTTAACAAAGCAAATGTAGTGATGTACAATCTTCTTTGCTCAGTGACAGCTTCTAACCTATCTTATGCTTTAATGCTATAAGCAATTGCTCAGTGCAGTTTTAAGTGATGAAGTGTCAGAGATAATGACTGCATCAATATCTCAGTACTGCATGTATTTAGGCATGTGCATGCAATTGCTTTGATCACTATGATACGTTTACAGCACTATAGCTTGCATGCTTAGGCTTGCCCCTTTAATGTTTTACATTCTTCTAGTGTATGAATGAAAATTGAAAGACAGCAGAGTCAGAGTGCAGGCAGCTGCGCAATGCAGTGGTTATCAATCGTGTATATATAAATTTATAAATAGACTATCTATACAAATTTTGAAAAGCAGTGGCAAATAAAGCTTCTGAAATACAGTGAGTTCTAAGTTCTATTTCATCAGTCAATTAAAACAGGTCAGTTGTATATGTGTCAACCAGTGACCTAAAAGATCAATGTCTTGTCATTTATCATTAATTTTAATAAAAGTATACTTTGTATGTTCTTGGTAGCATCTTCAGCAGAAATATCAGTCCAAGATGTAAAGGTCATGCTACAGACTTTGTTTGGATTCATTAAAAACCCATTATCACTAACAGTACAATAAAGAAGTATAGAATTAACAAATAATTTGTGAAAGAGAATCTCACCTGAAATATCCTTCCAAACTCCACTATCCAACATCACATAAACTGCAGCTGCATCAAATTGGAGACTGAACTACACATGTATTATTACCAAGAAATTATTTAGTTGAAATGACTATATACTACAATGCTATATAAACTTACTGAATACTTCATTTGAAGATAAAGACTCATATTACTGATTGATATTTTAGCTTGAGGAAGATTAGCTTTTGTAAAATTTCCAGGAAAGAAATACATTGAAGCAAAGATCTTGTTATCTGATCCATCAGCTATCAAAATATGGATAAGCATTTCCATGACTAGTAGTAGATAAATACTATACTGATTCCTATCCATACAATGACTCATCAGGTTCTTTCAATACTTACTTTAGGTGGACTGACAGGTACCATTGGGTTACAAAGGAAGGAGTGAGAGTCTTCATAAACCTCACGTCTTTTTGAAGGAGAACCTGAAGTAATGGCATCGGCATCTTCTTCCATTTTTTCATCTAAAAATAAACAAAAATATTAAATTCAGATTTTCTTGATCTACCATTTATGATTGGTTCATCTTCTATTATCCTCCGACCAGCAAAATCAATCGTGAC